TGTGTGTGTGTGTGTGTGTGTGTGTGTGTGTGTGTGTGTGTGTGTGTGTGTGTGTGTGTGTGTGTGTGTGTGTGAGTGATGGAGTGAATCTGTTATCTGCTCTCACACAGCGTGAGGATGATGATGACAGCTGTGATGAAGCTCAAACACATTCAGCTCTTATCGTCTCAGCACACGTCTGCAGCGCCGCACAATAAGTCAGCACGGGTAATTAACCAGCTAGTTATCTCACCTCGTCTGCCTCTCTCACTTCTGCTCTTATTTACTCTTACTCATCATCTTAATCGTTCCTCTGTCTCTCTCTCTCTCTGTTTTTACCTTTTCAATGTATAGTACTTTAATGCCATGTTTGTGTTTACATGCAATATTGTAAAAGTGTTAGACACAAAACAAGTAATGCTAACATAAAACAAATATTACAGTTTCAAACAACAATTAAAATAATTCATTAAAATAAGGCAAGAAATTTATAAAAATTACAAAGTAAATTATTTATAAATAATATATGATATAAATAGACTTTTATCAAGACAGAAAGAGAGAAAAAAAATCTCTCTCAAATGTTTAATTTTCAATTTAAAATGCATTATTGGCATGATTGTATTTACATGAAATATTGCCTATTATACACAAAAGAAATAAGAAAATTAAATCTATGACATATTGCAATAACAAACAGCAATAAAAACTGTCTTTATATAAGCTGGTATGTAATGAATAATAGTAAGTTTAAAATAACATATATTCCAAGCTAAAGAAATATTTTGTAAGAACTTTTTCATAACGTTCCCATTAGGTTCTGAAAACTGAATGCAATTTCTGAATGTTCTTTCTACAGTCAAATTTTTTTTTTTTACGTTTTAAAAATGTTTATTTTTCTTAGTTATGCAAGCATGAAAGAAACATAGTTTTGCAAACATTAGTGGAACGTTACTTCTGAATGTTCTCTGAAACAAGCAACATTTAAAAACATTTGATGAGCATGCAACCGTGCACAATGTAACGGTTTCATGCAACAATTTTGAGAAAATTATTAAACATTATACATTATAAATACTATTAATGACTTTGAACAAACATTCTATTAATGTTACTGCAAGAACATTTGCTCATAACTATATACAGTATATATAGCATTTATCAAAACATGCACATTTAAAAAAGATACTGTAACTCTCTCTCTCTCCCCTCCCTCTCTCTGTTTCTCTCTCTCTCTCAGTCTCTCAGAGCGTCAGCTGTGTGTGTGTGTGTGTGTGTGTGCAGCACTCTCGTCTCACTCCTGCTGGTCTCAGCATCTTCATTATTTCTGCTCCTGATCTTCTCTCTAGTGTGAGTGTGTTTGTCTGCAGATCCACTTGTGTTCTGATGGAACATTTCACTCACACTGGATTTATAAACGCTGGAGGAGTAAAACCGCAGACGTTTACCATGTTTACCTGAGGACATCTGCTGCTGGACGAGGTTTCTGTAAGTACAGCTTCAGTCTGTGAAGAGCAGGCCAGAGCGCGGCATGTTGTCACACTGTTCCCTCCGGTGAACAAACCTTCATCATCATGGCCGTACGCGTTTTAATTATCTTAAGGGATTTGTATTTGTGCATTCTTTCTTTCTTTCTGTAACTGTACTGCCTTAGGCTAATGGTTTGATCTTTTGTACCGTAAAAAAAAAAAGAAATCAGAAAAAAGATTCTCGAACCCGCTCCGAAGTACCGATCTAAATGTAATGCCAATATGCGCGCTTTAAAGTCCCAATATGAATCAAATGATTTAGAGTGCTTCAAAACAGTGAATCATTTTGCGACGCAATGGTTTATCCGATTCAGAGTTCAGAAAAGCTCCATTTCACTCATCAAATATGTTTTTTTAATCATTACAAGCGATGTGGAAATTCTTGTTTTTGCTAGTGAGTCGCTTGAAGTGAACGATCGAAGTCACGAGTTTGTGTTTGAATCAGCTCTAAACACGTTAGATGAAACATTGTGCATCATGATGGAGTTTGCAGCTTAATTCACTATATTTGAAATAGTTTGAGCTGCAGTTCAGTTCAGTAGAAATCAGTTGAAAGCCTCCAGTCTCTCAATGTTCAGTTTATCAGTATATATTGTAATAAATATCGTTGTATGTGAGTGTATTAGTCTATATAGAGTGATAGTCAATGTAAAAAGAGCAGATGAACACTAAACAGCAGAACAACATAAAGTTAAAGAGGATAAACTTTATCATTCAGCTGAACTCTGCTCGTATGTTTCAAACACTTCGGCTCTTATATGTTCGTACTCCACACGTGTGTTTTTCTTGAAAGCGCACAGATTTGTAGCATGTTTAACTTCTCATGTATCAATGGTGTGACCGATTTCAGACGTACACATATATTTAATTTTTTGATCAAAATTATATGGGACAGTTTAGTAGTTGCTGGATATTGGTAAGGACTAAATTATATGCCCTTGTAATTTTGGTATATGAAGGTAAACGTAATATACCATATGGTAAATTAAACAAAATATATTTTCAGTTTCAAAAATTTATTTCATTGAGCTTCACTGTTTGTAACATATATTTAGCATATACTTAAAATAAATTTTTTTTTTTGCTCCGTTGGTTCTGTCATAAGTTTCTTTCTTCTGTGGAATGTAAATAAAGATATTATAAAAATGTTTGGAATCAAACCATTGATTTTTTTTTTTTCACCGTCATCTGTCTGGTTACCGACATTCTTCATAATATCATATTTTGTGTTCAACAGAAGAAAGGTTTAAGAGTTCTACTAATTACTGCACCTGACTGGTGCTGGACGGACTAGTTTTAGTTAGTTGGTTAGTTGAAGTTTTGTTAGCTGAAGCTCAGTTTCAGTGGATGATTTGTTTGGTTTGGGAGGAAGTTTTCATGTTTTTTTTCTCCCCAGATATATTGATAATCATTTGATTCTTAATTCAAAGCAGCTTCACAGAAATACGCTCTTAAAAATAAAGGTGCTTCACAATGCCACAGAAGAACCGTTTTTTGTCTAAATGGTTCCATAAAGAACCTTTAACATCTGAAGAACCTTTCTGTTTCACAAAAGCTTCTGAAGGTTCTTCAGATTATAAAAGAGATGAACCTTTGACTGAATGCTTCTTTGTGGAACCAAAAAGGGTTCTTCTATAGATGCATCGCTGTGAAGAACCTTTAAAGCACCTTTATTTTAAAGAGTATAAGCAGGAAAATAACAGAATCAATGATGCAAACTTCAGAAATGAGTCAAATCCAAATGATGCTGCAAAGCAATGATTTGGCTTCATCAACTGATATGTTTATTGATTTTCAGAATCACTGTACATTGTGACAAGATATTTAATTTGAGACACTACAGACAAAAGCAGCATGTTTTCATGCATTGCTCAGTTTTCGGTCTGTTTTGCTTCAATATCATGTCTCTTCTTTCAGACTAGTGGACGGAAAACACCCAAAATACACAGATCTGAGAGTTTATTTCATTGCACTTGTTTTCTGTTTGCGTCTGTAGATTTCAATCTTTAAAGAGTTTTTCTCTTACAAACATCACACTTCATTTCTCTCTATATTCTGACGGTTTGTTCGTATTTCATTCACACTGATTTATACACCATTTTACTCCCAAAACATGGTGAAAATGTGTTTGTTTTCTGTCTATTGACAGTATTTTCTGATTTATGGAGTGATAAAAACAGAAATTCAAAACCAAAACCTTTAACTCTAATATGAGAACACAATCATTTGGCTTTATCCAGTGTTCAGATTTATGTGCTGGAAATGTATGCAAACGAGTGCATATTTAAATAGATAATGCATCATTTGCATATTTAAACAGAACATTTCAGGACGCTTGTGATGCAAAAAATGTTTTCAGTTCTTGTAATGAATCAACTGGGGATCATGGGTGATATCTAATAGTTTGTTTGCTTTTATTCAGTTATCAGTGAAATGGTTTGGTTTTAGTGCTTGTTTCAGGACTGAGAGAATCTGATTATGCTGTTGAAATCACTTCAGTTTTGACTTTATATGAAACATCTCAAGCTACACTCTTAATATCGGAGATCTGATGTGATGAAGCTCAGATCCAGTGACTATGCTTTTAAAAACACAGAAGGGTTTTCACTGCAATGCTACAGAAGAATCATTTTTGATTCCCCAAAAGAACCCTTTTTTTCTTAGTGTGGAGAACATTTGAATGAACTGAAGAACCCTTTTCCGGTAAAAAGAAGCTTCTATTGATGTTAAAGGGTCTTTATGAAAACATCAATGCTGATAAACACACACACACACACAGACAGACACACACACAAAATATATATTACAACTTACATTTCCACAAAAGGCTGTGAGTGGCTGCATAAGTGAACCAGCTAGTCATGAAGATACAACTCTGTGGACGCATTCTTTCCATAACAACGCGCTGAAACGTGGCATAATTTTTACAGTCGTGTTCTCCGTTATAATTTTGTGTAGCCTATATGACAGATTTGTGCATATCTTAGTGGTACCTTCCTTTTCAAAGTGATTCAAGCAATTCAAAATCATCATGGCCGTACGCGTTTTAATTATCTTAAGGGATTTGTATTTGTGCATTCTTTCTTTCTTTCTGTAACTGTACTGCCTTAGGCTAATGGTTTGATCTTTTGTACCGTAAAAAAAAAAAGAAATCAGAAAAAAGATTCTCGAACCCGCTCCGAAGTACCGATCTAAATGTAATGCCAATATGCGCGCTTTAAAGTCCCAATATGAATCAAATGATTTAGAGTGCTTCAAAACAGTGAATCATTTTGCGACGCAATGTTTTATCCGATTCAGAGTTCAGAAAAGCTCCATTTCACTCATCAAATATGTTTTTTTAATCATTACAAGCGATGTGGAAATTCTTGTTTTTGCTAGTGAGTCGCTTGAAGTGAACGATCGAAGTCACGAGTTTGTGTTTGAATCAGCTCTAAACACGTTAGATGAAACATTGTGCATCATGATGGAGTTTGCAGCTTAATTCACTATATTTGAAATAGTTTGAGCTGCAGTTCAGTTCAGTAGAAATCAGTTGAAAGCCTCCAGTCTCTCAATGTTCAGTTTATCAGTATATATTGTAATAAATATCGTTGTATGTGAGTGTATTAGTCTATATAGAGTGATAGTCAATGTAAAAAGAGCAGATGAACACTAAACAGCAGAACAACATAAAGTTAAAGAGGATAAACTTTATCATTCAGCTGAACTCTGCTCGTATGTTTCAAACACTTCGGCTCTTATATGTTCGTACTCCACACGTGTGTTTTTCTTGAAAGCGCACAGATTTGTAGCATGTTTAACTTCTCATGTATCAATGGTGTGACCGATTTCAGACGTACACATATATTTAATTTTTTGATCAAAATTATATGGGACAGTTTAGTAGTTGCTGGATATTGGTAAGGACTAAATTATATGCCCTTGTAATTTTGGTATATGAAGGTAAACGTAATATACCATATGGTAAATTAAACAAAATATATTTTCAGTTTCAAAAATTTATTTCATTGAGCTTCACTGTTTGTAACATATATTTAGCATATACTTAAAATAAATTTTTTTTTTTGCTCCGTTGGTTCTGTCATAAGTTTCTTTCTTCTGTGGAATGTAAATAAAGATATTATAAAAATGTTTGGAATCAAACCATTGATTTTTTTTTTTTCACCGTCATCTGTCTGGTTACCGACATTCTTCATAATATCATATTTTGTGTTCAACAGAAGAAAGGTTTAAGAGTTCTACTAATTACTGCACCTGACTGGTGCTGGACGGACTAGTTTTAGTTAGTTGGTTAGTTGAAGTTTTGTTAGCTGAAGCTCAGTTTCAGTGGATGATTTGTTTGGTTTGGGAGGAAGTTTTCATGTTTTTTTTCTCCCCAGATATATTGATAATCATTTGATTCTTAATTCAAAGCAGCTTCACAGAAATACGCTCTTAAAAATAAAGGTGCTTCACAATGCCACAGAAGAACCGTTTTTTGTCTAAATGGTTCCATAAAGAACCTTTAACATCTGAAGAACCTTTCTGTTTCACAAAAGCTTCTGAAGGTTCTTCAGATTATAAAAGAGATGAACCTTTGACTGAATGCTTCTTTGTGGAACCAAAAAGGGTTCTTCTATAGATGCATCGCTGTGAAGAACCTTTAAAGCACCTTTATTTTAAAGAGTATAAGCAGGAAAATAACAGAATCAATGATGCAAACTTCAGAAATGAGTCAAATCCAAATGATGCTGCAAAGCAATGATTTGGCTTCATCAACTGATATGTTTATTGATTTTCAGAATCACTGTACATTGTGACAAGATATTTAATTTGAGACACTACAGACAAAAGCAGCATGTTTTCATGCATTGCTCAGTTTTCGGTCTGTTTTGCTTCAATATCATGTCTCTTCTTTCAGACTAGTGGACGGAAAACACCCAAAATACACAGATCTGAGAGTTTATTTCATTGCACTTGTTTTCTGTTTGCGTCTGTAGATTTCAATCTTTAAAGAGTTTTTCTCTTACAAACATCACACTTCATTTCTCTCTATATTCTGAAGGTTTGTTCGTATTTCATTCACACTGATTTATACACCATTTTACTCCCAAAACATGGTGAAAATGTGTTTGTTTTCTGTCTATTGACAGTATTTTCTGATTTATGGAGTGATAAAAACAGAAATTCAAAACCAAAACCTTTAACTCTAATATGAGAACACAATCATTTGGCTTTATCCAGTGTTCAGATTTATGTGCTGGAAATGTATGCAAACGAGTGCATATTTAAATAGATAATGCATCATTTGCATATTTAAACAGAACATTTCAGGACGCTTGTGATGCAAAAAATGTTTTCAGTTCTTGTAATGAATCAACTGGGGATCATGGGTGATATCTAATAGTTTGTTTGCTTTTATTCAGTTATCAGTGAAATGGTTTGGTTTTAGTGCTTGTTTCAGGACTGAGAGAATCTGATTATGCTGTTGAAATCACTTCAGTTTTGACTTTATATGAAACATCTCAAGCTACACTCTTAATATCGGAGATCTGATGTGATGAAGCTCAGATCCAGTGACTATGCTTTTAAAAACACAGAAGGGTTTTCACTGCAATGCTACAGAAGAATCATTTTTGATTCCCCAAAAGAACCCTTTTTTTCTTAGTGTGAAGAACATTTGAATGATCTGAAGAACCCTTTTCCGTTATAAAGAAGCTTCTATTGATGTTAAAGGTTCTTTATGAAAACATCAATGCTGATAAAGAACCTTCATTTTAAAGAGAACAGGGTTATCAGAGATAGCTACAATTAAACCCATACAAAATAAATTAATGTTAACTCAAATAAAATAAAAATGAACTTATTTTTAGTTTATTATTTCATTATATAACCTTTCGCACTGGAAATATGTTAAAGGATCTTCTTAGACACATCAATCCAGGTGAAGAATCTTAAGGAGTGTAGTTCTTCTTCAGAAATGTCTTATATATAAAATTGAGATTTATATCTCATATATGTTTATATGAATATGAAAGCTGTATAAATAATATTTCCATTGATGCATGGTTTGTTAGGAGAGGACAATATTTAAAAATCTGGAATCTGAGGATGCAAAAAAATCTAAATATTGAGAAAATCATCTTTAAAGTTGTTCAAATGAAGTTCTTAGCAATGCATATTACTAATCAAACATTAAGTTTTGATATATTTACGGTAGGAAACATACAAAATATCTTCATGGAACATGATCTTTACTTAATATCCTAATGATTTTTGTCATAAAAGAGAAATGTATAATTGTGACCCATACAATGTATTGTTGGCTATTGCTACAAATATCCCCCAGCGACTTAACACTGCTTTTGTGCTACAGGGTCACGTATGAACTTCAGCACAATCACGTCAGAGCTCGTGCTTTCGTGTGACGTCTGTGGCTCTCACTAGAACCATCAAGTCAAAGCAAGCAATGATTATTCTTGTGGATTTGATCCGTCTGATGCACTCGTTTGAGAATCTGTGTCGTCGTGTCACGTTAAACGCATCTAAGGCACATGCGCTCGTCCTTGAGTGTTTGTTTGGTTTGTCTTCAGATGATGTTGATTTATCATTCAAAAGAAATCACTCCTCCGTTTCCCTGGAAACAAAAAGCCAGCGGCGTCAGTGATGAGCGTCCATCAGTGTGTTCTGTTCCATCAGCTGCTCTGCAGAACTTATGTGAGCCGTTGGTTCGTGTTGTGAGATTAGAGTTGAGGTTTTAGTGAGGATTTCTGGGTAATCACTTTAATTGGTGCTCATCTGCAGTAGTTCACATCAAGTTTTGCTGGTTATGATTGCCTAGTTAGTCCCTGCTAGAAGAAGTTTGTAATTACATTTACATTTAATCATTTAGCAGATGCTTTTATCCAAAGCAATCAGAATCAATAAAAGAGCAATGATACGCAAGTGCTATAACAAGTCTCGCTTAGCTTAACACAGTACACACGCAAGTTTTTTTTTAATTATATAAAAAAAAAAATCATAAACAGATAGAATAGAAAAAGAATAGCGCAAGCTAGTATTAGAGGCCCTTTTTGTGCTTTTTATTAATTGTATAATAAATAAAAAGAAAACAAATAGAATACAAAAAGAATATAGAAGCTAGAGTTTTTTTAAAGAAAACAAGCAGTTAGTAAATGAATAGAGTGTGAGTCTGAAAGTGGCACTTTTTTTTTTAAGAATAGAATTAGAATCGAGAGTGCTAAGCTAGTATTAGAGGCCCTTTTTGTGCTTTTTATTAATTGTATAATAAATAAAAAGAAAACAAATAGAATACAAAAAGAATATAGAAGCTAGAGTTTTTTTTAAGAAAACAAGCAGTTAGTAAATGAATAGAGTGCAAGTCTAAAAGTGGCACTTTTTTTTTTTTTTTTTAAAGAATAGAATTAGAATCGAGAGTGCCAGAGTTAAAGAGTCAAATGAAGATAGAAGAGATGTGTTTTTAGCCGATTCTTGAAGATGGCTAAGGCTGCTTGGATTGAGTCGGGCACGTAAAAGTAAATGGAAAATATATATATAAAAAAAAACAAAAATTTAAAGAATAGAATTAGAATAGAGAGTGCTAGAGTCAATAACAATAGTGATGTTCTCTTGCAGAATTAATACACGTAATTTAATAATTACACCATCTGACTGAATGTCCAGCTTTGACAGTCAGTCAAAATCATCTGTGCATTCTGACACAATGCTTTTTTTGTTATTTTGCAAGCATCAAATAAATGCCCAAACTAGCAATGAGACACAGCCTTGGTCTGACGCAAGAAGCAAGTCATTTGTAATTTTAACAAGTGCAGTTTCTGTGCTATGGTGGGGCCTGAAACCTGACTGAAATTAGTGACCGATTCTCTTTTAGAGGCTGGCGTGAGTGTGAGTGTGAACTGGACTAATATCTGCCGATGATTTATAGCAGTGAACGGGTTCCTGGAGTGACTCTGCTGACTGTGTGTTGTTGTGAATCTCGCAGATGCAGATGAAATATTGAATGAAATCTCAGTTCTGCCCTCCAGAGTCGCACTGATGATCACTGAACAATCAGCCATGCATTTACTGTATTTCCAGACTTTATTTCGAATGGGATGATATAATGACTTCGGATGAGAAGACTAGAAGTCTAACAGTTCTTACATTAGCTCTTGTCATTTAAAACTTAGGGTTAGGGTTATTGATTATGATGATGGCAGTGATATTCTGAATGAACCTTCACAAGCAAATCTCACTCATTTCTTTTTAAAAACTCTAGCAGTTAAGAGACGTTTAAGCGTGCATTAAGGTTTCTGACAGACACTTTAACAGTATCTCTAGATTTTGTTTCTAAAAACGATAGCTTCTAAGATTAAAGCAGTGTTATTTTAGTTTATAGTATTACAGGTTTTATTAATATTTTGATTTAAGTTCGTTTTTTCAGTTTTCATTTAATTTAATTTCATTATTAGATATTTTGTTTAATTCTTGTAACATTTTTATTAGTTTTTGTTTAGTTTCTTTTAAATATGACTAGTTAGGTTTATTTTATTTTTATTTCAGTATTTTAGTTCCATTTTCATTTATTTCTATTTAAACATTTTAGCACTTAGTTAGTTATAAGGCAACATTTCTCATGTTCACTTAATTTAATTTGCCATGCAATATTTATATTTTATTTTATATCAGCTTTATTTCTATCAACAATAGTTTTAGTTTTAGTTAACATAAATAACCCTGGAATAATCATCCTATTTATAAACTATTTAGGTGTGTTTCTTATTCTTATTTCAGGTTTAGTTTATTTCCAGTTAGGCATTTTTGTGCTTCAACTTACATTTATTTAAATTTGTTGCTGAGGCAGCATTTCTAATTTTCATTTATTTTATTTCATGCATTTATTTATTTGGTTTTTCATGTAACCATTCATAACCTAACCCTAACTTTTTTCAATTAACAAAGAAGTTTTTAATTCTTATTTTAAGTTAACAGTAATGGATTAAAGATTCAGAGTATTTATTTATTTAATTCATTCAGTTTTTGTTTTTATTCATTTTCAGTTATTTTCAGACATCTTAAACGAAAATGATCAGTGATGCCTTACGAACTAAAATAAGTTTATGTTTTTCATCTAATATTTATATTTTATGTTATTTCATCCTTATTTTTAATTAACAAAAAAAAAGTTTTTCATAGTTTTAGATCCAGATTATTTAGGTTTATTTTATTTATTTATTTATTTTATTCATTCCATTTTAGTTTTTATTTATTTTCTGTTAAGCCATTTTAGGCACTTAAAACAAACGAACATTATTAATGTTGCCTTACTATACTCATCTAATATATTTCAGCTTCTTTTTAATTAGCCTAAGGCCTGGTTTCACAGACAGGGCTTAGACTAAACCAGGATTAGGCCATAGTTCAATTCAAGTAATTTTTCATAAGTGTGCCTTAGAAAGTCATTCCATTTTAGTTTTTATTTATTTTCTGTTAAGCCATTTTAGGCACTTAAAACAAACGAACATTATTAATGTTGCCTTACTAACTGAAATAAGTTAAAGTTTTTCATCTAATATATTTCAGCTTCTTTTTAATTAGCCTAAGGCCTGGTTTCACAGACAGGGCTTAGACTAAACCAGGATTAGGCCATAGTTCAATTCAAGTAATTTTTCATAAGCGTGCCTTAGAAAGCACATTACTGGTGTGCATCTTCAGCCAAAACAAAGGCACTGATATATTTTAAGATCAGTCAGTGCAAGTTTCTTTCAGTTGACACTGCTCAGACTTACATTTTAGTCTGGGACTAGGCCTAAGCCTTGTCTGTAAAACCGGGGGTAAATGTTTTAATAGTTTTAGTTACCGATAATAACCCTGTCTTAGACATCCAGACTCTCACGTTCAGTCGTGGTTCTGATCTGTGTGTTTCTGCAGGAGATGCGAGTGAATCGCGATGGACGGAGAGAAGAACGTCACCGTCAGCACAAACGTCTCCGGCGCGCACAGCCTGTGGGAGGCGGTTTCCATAGCAACCGTCTCCGCCGTGGTCAGCCTCATCACCATCGTCGGGAACGTTCTGGTGATGCTGTCCTTCAAAGTGAACAGCCAGCTGAAGACGGTCAACAACTACTACCTGCTGAGCCTGGCCTGCGCTGACCTCATCATTGGCGTCTTCTCTATGAACCTCTACACGTCTTACATCCTGATGGGCCGCTGGGCTCTGGGAAGTGTGGCCTGCGATCTGTGGCTGGCTTTGGATTATGTGGCCAGTAACGCATCTGTGATGAACCTGCTGGTCATTAGTTTCGACCGCTACTTCTCCATCACCAGGCCACTGACGTATCGTGCCAAACGAACGCCGAAGCGAGCGGGAATCATGATTGGATTGGCTTGGCTCGTGTCTTTCGTCCTCTGGGCTCCGCCGATCATCTGCTGGCAGTATTTCGTCGGAAAGCGAACGGTTCCTGAAGGACAGTGTCAGATTCAGTTCTTCTCTGAACCCGTGATCACTTTTGGCACGGCGATAGCCGCCTTTTATATTCCCGTATCCGTCATGACCATCCTCTACTGTCGGATCTATAAAGAAACCGAGCGACGCACCAAAGATCTGGCCGAGCTTCAAGGAGGCAACTCTTTGAACGATTCAGACGCACCAAATCAAAAGACTGGTTCGTGTTTCACTTCAAAAGACGAGCAGCTGACCAACTTTAGCTATGCTTCATCCGAAGATGAAGAGCGCTCGGCTTCTCCCTGTGTCTTCAAAGAGACGAGAAACAAAAAGTGCATTTCTTATAAATTCAAAGATGTTCGTTCTACGAAGAGCGCTAATGGAGAGGAAAAGCCCTCTTCGTTCTCGTCGGCCGAGTCTGTGAACGTACCCTCTTCCTCCAAACCCGTCGACGGCACGCTGAAGAGCCAGATCACTAAGAGGAAGAGGATGGTTCTGATCAAGGAGAAGAAGGCGGCGCAGACTCTCAGCGCCATCCTGCTGGCCTTCATCCTCACCTGGACGCCGTACAACATCATGGTGCTGGTCTCCACCTTCTGCTCCGACTGCGTCCCACTGTCGCTCTGGCATCTGGGATACTGGCTGTGTTACGTCAACAGCACCGTCAACCCCATGTGCTACGCCCTCTGCAACAAGACCTTCCAGAAGACCTTCCGCATGCTGCTGCTGTGCCGCTGGAGGAAGAAGAGGCCCGAGGAGAAGCTGTTCTGGTGCGGACCGAAGCCTGCGGCCGGAAACAGACTCTCCTGAGACTCTGCTTCACTGAACAGAGACACTTCCTCGAAGGGATGCACTAGCATTCAGCTTTTACTGTTACGAGGAGAAGCTGTTCTGGTGCGGACCGAAGCCTGCGGCCGGAAACAGACTCTCCTGAGACTCTGATTCACTGAACAGAGACACTTCCTCGAAGGGATGCACTAGCATTCAGCTTTTACTGTTACTGAAAGAAGTCTCTTCTGCTCACCGAGGCTCCATTTATTTGATCAAAAATCTGGAAAAATTGTGAAATATAATTAGAATTTAAAACAGCTGTTTTCTGTGTGAATATGTGTTAAACTGTAATGTATTTCTGTGATGCAGCGCTGTATTTTCAGCATCATTCCTCCAGTCTTCAGTGTCACATGATCTTCAGAAATCAGTATAATATGCTGAGAAACATTCTGATTATTATCAATGTTGTGCTGCACAATATTTTTGTGGAAACTGTCATGCATTACCATTCAAATTAATTAATTAATACTTTTATTCATCAAGGACGCATTAAACTGATTAAAAGTGACAGTAAAGACACTTTTAGAAAAGTTAGAAAAGATTTCTGTTTCAAATAAATGCTGTTCTTTTGAGCTTTCTGTTCATCTGTGAATCCTGAAAAATAAAATGCATCACAGTTGCCACAAAAATATTAATGTGTTCAACATTGATAATAATCAGAAATGTGTCTCGAGCAGCAGATCAGCATATTATACTGATTTCTGAAGATCATGTGACACTGAAGACTGGAGGAATGATGCTGAAAATACAGCTGCGCATCACAGAAATACATTACAGCTTAACAGAGATTCACATAGAAAACTGCTGTAATAATATTTCACATTTATACAGAATTTTGATCAAATAAATGCAGCCTTGGTGAGCAGAAGAGACTTCTTTCAGAAACATTAAAAATCTTAATTACTCCAACAATGAAAACTGTCCAAAAATGACAAAGAGCTCCGTAAACATGTCTCAAAAGTACCATGAAAATGGCTCCTTTAAAAATCAAATCTTTGCTATATTTGAGGAGGGAATAATTCAGTTAACGGATGAATTTGCTTATTTTCAACCAGCTTTGTATTATTACAACAATGTATGCCAGATCACCCGTTTATTAGTCATCAAAAGTCTGTCAGATGATGCAGAACGAGTCATTTTGTCATTTGTCGGATTATTTGACAGCTCTAATATTCCTCTAATATTTTCACAAGTATTTTTGGTGTAAATTATTCCTTTAACTCTGCCATAACTAATAATATGTTAGTTTGAGTCGCTGTAAGTTCATCATTGGATTCTGTGATGTTTTTACTTCATCAGTCCTTCATGGAAATAAACACCCACATGTCAATATCATAAGAATATGATGAAGGAACATGTTTCATGAGTGCAGAACAAACACCCATCAGAGATGATTTTACTCATGTTTGTCCGTGTTAAAGGGCTAGTGTTGTATTTCAAAGGCTTGATGTCGATTGTATCACTTCAGATGCCTTATTGTGCTATTATAAAAACAGAGAGGAGCTTTACTGATGGAAGGAAACCCAGAAACGACGTGCTGATGATGTCAAACAAACAGTTTTAATGATGATGTGTGGTTTTTATCTATAGGTGCTCAGATTTGTTTCGATGTGGTGTAAACAAGGTGATCAAAGATGCCAGAACTTTCTATTTCGCCAGCTTTATTGCTCTTTCGTTCCCTGTAAGCCGTGATCGTGTGTGACTTTATATCAGTTTCACGAGACCCTTCGGACTCTTCGCTACAAATAATTCTGTCATTAATTGTTTATTGAATAAAATAAAATATTTGATCCAGATAATTGATTCTAATGTGTTTTATACGTAATAATAATTGATCACTATACTGTAAAAAAAATAATTTTCATACTCAATATTTCTGCTTTGTTTTCAAGTACAAACATCAAAACATTCTTACGGCAACATATATTAACTTGTGACGCTTGTTTTCTGAAAAATGTATCAAAATGAAGAGTTTATTCTTAATCCTCATAACGCATTTGGCTCTGTTTTGACCCAGAAGGGATGCATTAAAAATTCTAAAAAATATATATAGTTTTTAATAATGGAACAAAACTTGCAAATGTTCCAAGACCCTCAAAATACTCCCCC